AATCAATTGGCAGCAATGGGACATGCTCTCATTCACTGTATATTTTGTTTTGTTTGTATTTTGAACATATACATACTTGTCTGACCTAGTCCTGTGGACCAAGAATCAGATCCCTGAACTTGCAAAACTTCTCACCTTGTAATGGCTTAGTCATGAAATCCACAATCATATTGTCAGTTGGACAGTATTTGGTCTTAACATTTCCTTTCTCAACTTGATCTGTGATAAAGAAATAACGAATAATGATAGCTCGGCTTCTTTTGCCTGCGCTCTTGCGACCATTCTCTTCCAGTAGAATCGCGCTTTTGTTATCCTGATACAAGATATTCTTCTCGATCAGAAACCCTTGCCACCCCATGAACAACTTTGTCCATAGTATCATTGTGACAACATTGTCAACAGCAATCAGTTCCGCTTCTGTACTGCTTCTGCTGTTTAGTTTTTGTTTCTTCGACATCACTTGAGCTGCACCTCCTCCAAAGGACAGAGTTCCGTCAGTATGGCTCTTGAAATCTGGATGCACTGCAAAAGATGCGTCGATCATCCATTTCATGACTCGTAGTGATTCTGCGGAAAGTGTCAGGTGATACAACAATGTACAAAACAAATATCGCATCATACGAACACACTTCTTCCAATCAGACTCTGTAGGTTCTCGAACTCTCAAGGCAAGAATAGTAATCGTTGGATGGATATCCAGACCAGCTCTCTTAGAGACATAAAGCCCCCTTGCAACAGTAGCATGAAAGATTTGACGGTATGCAGCATTGAGTAACTTTCCTTTACCAGCCTCCAGTAAATCGTTACCAGCTGGTGTTTCCTGCTTTGAATCCTTGTTGAACTTGATAGGAAAATCTTCCAACATGTTCTTGACATAGTCGTCCATGCGGATCTTGAGCTTTCTTTTCACCGAGAAATCCAAAGTCATTCCAAGATATCTGTGTATCTTTCCTCTGACGATTGTGCACGCCTTGATCAAACCATATCTCATGTTCAACCGCTTAGCAAATTTGTCATTTACTTTCGGATCCATGTGACTTGACATAAGATCGTCAACATGAAATCTGATAGTTTGCTGCTTTTCATTAACAACTTTGTTAGCAACAGAGCGTCCTGATCCACTTCCAACTCCATGAATACCTCAATGAGCAAGGACACACGGGTCATACGGATTGAAAACAAATCCCTTTGCCTCAAAATCACTTCGAAACTGATTACAGAATAGGAGGCTTGATTGCAACATCCCACATATAGCACGTAGTACCCGAACATAGATTACTCGCTTTCCATTCTCTAACACAATGTATTTGCAATACTCTGGGGCCATTTCAATCAATATCTGGACCATCATGCCAGTGATTTTCATGTAGATACGATCTTCTCCTTCCTTAGCTTCAGGCATATAAGTTTGAATGAAAGCGTTTGATGCACACGAAGGTAGAGATATAATGACGATGGACGTACCTAACGCTTTCATTCAAACTTATATGCCTGAAGCTAAGGAAGGAGAAGATCGTATCTACAAGTAGTGGTGATTGGTTCTTGCAAAGCAGTTGGACTTGCAGTGTCCTCTCGCGATAACCATTCACAAGTTAATTGTCTTTCCGAATTGCTTTTCCGCAAGTAACATCATCGCTGATTGGGCCTCCTTTCGCTCAGACACGTTCATGTCTTTCACAATTTCGGGAGTAAAACAATCTCTCAGGAGCATTTGTCTCAATTCCTTATCCACAGCATCTTTTCCATCGTCACCAAACTTCTTCAGTCCTTGATTGATGTAGTACTGTTGAATGAAGTTCAGACCTTCGTCAGTATCAAACTTTGCCTTGATCTGCATCATGCAACGAGCAATCAGAATAGCGCCGTGCTCTTCATAATCAGCTTTCATCTCAGTCCCAATCTGTTAGAAACATAGATTGTGCTGTGCTTCAAGGATAGCTTTACTGTCTTTAGTACTGCGACTTCCTTCTTTGGTACGAATACCAGATTTTAACTTGTTCTTCAATGGTTTCAATTCTCTCTCTCGATGCTTGCGTCTTGTTGCAACTCAAATTCTTGTTCTTATTGGCAGAACTGCCACTCCTGCTCGAAGGCCATTCTCTTGGTTTCTTTGGAACTTGAGAAAGGTTCAGCCCAGACATTGCAGCTTGCGCATACGTTTGCCCAGATCAAGTGACCTTTGCTACTTGAGGCGTTTCAGGCTCAAATATAATCTCTTCTTCTGGCGGTTCTTGTAGATCCTCCAGATCAAATGATCTTTGCTACTTGAGGCTCTTCAGGCTCAAATGCAATATCTTCTTCTGGCGGTTCTTGTAGATCCTCCAGATCAGTAACGAGGCTTCCAACATCATTGGTTCCTCTATCAACATTTTCTTGATGGTGATCCAAATTGGCCACAATAGGTTCTTCCTCGTCATTGCCTTCATCACCCGAATTGTCGTCATCTGATTCATAGTTATCATCTCCTTGGACTCTGACAGTGAGTTCCGGCATATCATCGACATCATTGTCTGCATCTGCCAAGAGCTCATTTCTTTCGGAGTCATCGATATCATCGAATTGTCCAAGTAGGTTGAAATCACGTTCATCTTCATCTTCAGGTTCATAGTCCTGATCAAAGGCTTTCTCTAAGTAACCTTGTTCCGTGTCATCCACACCTGCGATTTGATCGCCATCTTGAAATGTCTCACACCTTCGGCAGCAGCCCAAGCTTCAACACACTGGATTACTTGATCGGCAACGGGTAGTACAACAACCTTGGGTCAAGAAATCATCTACTTAGTATTGAGGTTGAGCACTCGGTGCCCAATACGTTGTCCCTTTGTAGGTTCAATGTAGATCGCTTCAATACTTAGTGGTTCCATCGAATGTTGGAATCCGTCCCAATGGCATGAGCATACTGTCCAAGTTCAGCAACCATGTCACTCTTGTAGTTGATATTGACATTATCAATGAGTTGCTGCGGACTGAAATATAATGAGATACTGTCTTTCTGGGGAAAGACATTCAATAGCTCGGCGGCTTGACGTCCAAGACATTCAGTGATCACCTTTGGTACCACTTTGTAGGGTAATCGTGCAAGAGCTACTCTGACTCTTTATTTCAGCGTTCGATTGTTTCGCTCAGCTGTAGCCGGGTCAATAGTAACACCCATATCATCTAGCATATCATCCGTCAGAGGAATGAAAGCTCGGTCACACTTGATTGTTTTGACATGAAAGCCTGCCTTATTGTAGCGCCGGAATATCTTATCTGATGCATCAAATACAGGGTCAGTCTTGAGGTTCTGCATGGGAATACATGAGCAATAACGCACACTGGTATTAATGCAGGTGAGAAACTTGCATCTCCGATCTCCATGTGATCAATACAGAGGGTAATTGTGCGATTATGTTGATACAATTCCTCTGGTGGACTGAAGAAGTCGTTGTCTTGTTGACTTGCCTTTCAATGTGAAGGCGTCAGGTCCAAAGATTGCTTCGGCATGATTGATCGCTTCTTCAGTGATAGGACAGTTCTTGATGAGACCAGATTGGATTGCATACTTCAGACTTTTGGTGCTTGGAGCATTGAGTATGTGCATCGCACTTCTCACTTCCATTGCAGCCTTGACTTGTCTTGGAGTGAATCCTTCTTTGTTCTTTTGAACCGTTGCCATCTTCGCAGTCATCCCAAGTCCAGCATATCCATTATGTTTTGAAGAAAGTTCAAAATGGGGTTGTTTATTTACGCTGCTTAACTGGCGATGATACATCGCACTTGTCTCTTTTGCACCTGGTTTGACATCCGCTCCAAGTTGCTCCAGCACATATACACCCTTACAATTAACAAATCGCATCTGTCTGTCTCCATCGCAGTGCACAACAAAGGCATTGTCAAAATCAGTATCCATGGTTATGCGGTATCCCGCAGCAATCATCTCGCGCATAGCAAATACATTGGCAATTCATAATAGACTGGAGGCGGAAATCTTCCTAGAAACCCTTCTTCATCAAGAACTCTGCTGCCCACGTTATTGTGCACATCGAGCTCGTTCTCAGCTTGACGTAGTCCATGCATGAGTTCACCATTACAAATGGTGGTGTTGGTGCAACCACTGTCCATGATGACGTGATCGAGCAAACCAAACGGATCTCTTTCGATTCTGCGGCTTTGAATAAACTGCATACCTCGATCTGCTTCAGTAGCAAGATCTGGCAAGTCTTCACTTTTATTAGCATAGTGCCAGTCGGATTGAAGTTCGACGTTAGTCATTCCGGTAGGACATGGAATAGGATAGACATCATTGCCATTCTCATCCTTTCGCTTGATAGCATTGTGAAAGACATGTGACGTATCAAAATAGCCAGTCTTCACAACTTGCGGAGTTTGAGCTTGGGTTGCATCGGATCCTTGGCGCACTTGAGCACCACTGAAGCCTTGTTGGCTGAGTTGCATTCCACTGAACGCAATCTCATCGTTAGCATTCATAGAATAAGGAACAGTAACAGTGCCGCCACCTTGAGTTGGAATCTGCATGAGCTGCATTCCCAAAGGAACTTGCATTATTTGATTACCTGTAGTACCAGCAAGTTGCAAAGGTGTGTTAACACTTCCCGCAACACTCGATGTTCCACCCGTGGTCACACTTGTTGCTGGAGAAGTTCCAGGAACTGTAGCTGTAGTTGGGACAGTTGCTCCAATCTGATTAACATTGAGCTTCTTCCCGTAATCAACATAGTGTTTCGGATGCTTCCATTGAATCTCTGGTAGCAGTCTGTCTGGGCATTTTGGAGACATATGGTCCCCTTTGCCACATACATAACATGCTGCCTTTTTCTTTTTGTCCTTCGGTTTACCCTTTCCTTTACCTTTACCTTTATTTGGTTGGTCTTTTCCTTGGTATAGGTTCACTCCCGGATTCTTGATCACATCCATGTGAATCTTCAACATATCTTGTGCTTTGCTGACCGTCTTTGGATAATAATCCACTTCCCTGCAGTAGATTGTCTGAAGATCCAGCATCAGAGGAGCTGTTCTTGTTCGATCACAGTTGCACAGGAATCCTGTTGCAAGAACTGCTTCAAAGATATCATCCTTGAAGTTGTCTTTAGCAGCAGTATCGGTGCTAGCAATAGCAGCATACGCTTTCGTCTTGACTGCAAAATTTCGGAACCAGGCAACGCCATATAGATCTTGCAGGACTTCAGCCTGTCTCAAGAATCGTTCCTTGAAATGCATCAAG